GACTTGCAAAGTCTGGGGCAGCTGCTGTATGCATACCCGTTCCCTTAAAGGTAAACTTGGACCTATCTTTAGATATGCCACCGTATATAGGGGCACTAGTAACTACAGTACTGTTCACCGACGTGTTGAGTATCTCACACGTCGCATGCTGCAAACCCCTAACCGCCCTATAGGGGCCGGGCAGAACAGCCACTTTACAGCCATTCAGAGGTGCGCTTAAACCCTTGAGGGGTTGAGATTTACCAAAATTAAAACCGCTATGACCAGATTTCAAGAGAACTGGCTTGTTAGCATCCTCATGGGTCCTATGACCAGCCGTGTCCACATGAACCAGCCGATTAGGAATAACCCCATGACTTCTATGACCAGCTTGCCCACCCGGGGCTTGCCGATTAGAAGTGTGCGGTGATGCTTTTTGCTCTCCCTCATCACCAAAATTGCAAATAGATAAAGTACCTTATATTCGTTTCATCTGCTTTGGTGCTGCCCCGTATGGTTGAAGACGTTGCTTGGACGCCACCCTCCGCATTACTCCGCGACTGTGGATGTGTTTCCATTTAGGAACAAACTTTTGCCTATTTACAAACTGCCTAGGCGAAATATTATTTCTTTGAGGCTTCGGCCTTGCAGCATTAAATTTAGCATTAGTTTGGTAACCAATTCCTTGTCTCATTGTGTTTTTTTGACCTTTTACAAATTTTACCACTTGGACTTTATTGTTTAAAGTAGTAGTAGAATTGGTCCATTTTTCAGAGGCTTGAGGACATGAAGGATTATAGCCAAGTCCGGCTTTATCACTTGAGGGTTTTTGCATATTTACCATTTTGTCCATTATTTTGGATGAATGTGTAAATGTTGCTATAACCTCTTTAAGGTTGTGTTCTCTCACTTCTCTTGATTTACACTCTTCTTGAAGACAAATAATTTTAGCCTTCAAGTCTTTCACTTCAAATAGAGCATTTTGCAAATTTTCATTTAATTCACTTTTTCAAGAATTAGAAAATTATTGCGCTCTTTGAGTTGAGAGTGAGTGTCTATTACGGTTTGACAATCCTTCATTAAGTGGAGGATGGACTCTCTAGAGAATGAAGAATTTACAGATTCATAAGATTTAGATGTTACCTCATCTTCTTCATTTTCATTTGCCATAAGACACATGTCTTCGTAGGATTAATTATGGGTGGAAGTTTAAGGGGTGTGAGTTTTGAGAGGTGGAGAGTTTTATTGGGATTGGGTTTATGTTTTATAGGTAGAGGTTTAGCGGGAGGAGGTTTCAATCCAATCTGATCTCTTCCTTCTTCTTCTAAAAAACATACACACACAGATAAACATATATGATCACACAAATTCACGCAAATCTCACAAATAATTCGAAACATATATAGAATTTTAAAGATTTTAGCAATTAAAACATTTCCATATATAATCATGCATATACACGTTAATTCCCTATTAACACAATCACAAATTTTGGAAATTAACCAAATTTCAATTAAGTCACCTAGAATACACACATATACGCATACGGTAGTTTCTAAAACACACAATCAAATAAATAATCAAATATTTAGAAACTAGCCAATTATTCTAGATACCAATTAAAAATAATTAGCATGGCAATTTTCACATAAGCAATTAAATTACACATAACATACCATAGCCACAATTAAATCACTTAGTCATGCAATAAACACAAATTTTCGAAAATAATTTGCATGGCACATAATTTCACGTTAATATTCACATGCAATTTCACAAATAGATACTAAACACATTGATTTAAATTATTAATGCAATTTTCGATCAAATACATATAAGCAAATATATCAAATATATTTATTTGAGCACAAGTATCAAATTTAAAATCATGAGATTATGTCCAGTGATATTTAGCTCATTTCAAGCATTCCCAATTCGTGCCTTAAGGTAGAAAATCTCGTTTCGCATAAAGGCTTTGTGAGAATGTCTGTAACTTGAATCTCCGTAGGGATGTTGTAACACCCATAATTTGTAAAACTTTTAAAACTTATGGAATAAAGGCAAATCTATTGTTAATTCTCACAAGAGCATAAACTAAACATAGCAGTCGGGGTGCTATGCCACATCTGAGCTAGAGAACTCAGATGCACAGGCTAAACTAACTAAAAAGCATAAATGATAACTAATACCCAAATGCAAATCAAGGCACGCAAGCCATCTTATCATAGCTAGAACTACCTAGACTAAGTCCATGAATCCAGCTAGCGCGCTCCGAAACTACTCAACTGTCCCTGAAAAACATTCGGTGTAACAACCGTCAACGAATAATGCTGGTAACCCACTCCAACACATTAAGTACAATATAGGTAGATATATGAAACTCATTTTGAAACTGGAATACATATATACTAGCATGCGTCCTAAGAACACGTTGCAAGACATAACAGGCAGATAAGCATATAAATAACAAATAGAGGCAACAATGGCATTCAAGACAGTTAGCAAGTAATCAACAAAGCACACAATCCATCTTCCCACCTTATACCAAGTTCCAACCTTGTAGCTCCTGATATGTACCTAGTCCAAGGTTCACATAAAGATGGAGTATTGTCCCAAGATTACTCTCAATGCAAGGATAGAGATGGATCAAAATACCTTAAACCTCACGAGAAACCCTTTGTCTCGAATCCTCAAAGACTTGGAAGATTCCCATTGTAGCTTCAAGTACCTCGATGATGCAATCTTCAATCAACTAGAGTCGGATCTAGTTTCCTTCGATTCAAGAACGAGTCCACGGACCTAAATCTAAGGTTGAAGAAAGGAAGATTGATTCGAGTCCACGAATCAATTTGCTAGTCGAGTGTGACTAGCCACTAATTGAGTCCACAATTAGCCATAAGGTTTCTTACACGAGTGTAAAGAAAAACTTAAGAATTTTATTGAATTAAACCCTCCCTTAAAACTGATATGGATGTGCCCTATTTATAGGTATAGGGGCAGCATAATTCTAAATACAATGGGAAAAAGAGTCCTAAACCTAATCTAGAAAACAAGTAAATAGAGTTTTATTTAGAAAAGGATTTAAGGAATCATTTCTAAATACAACTAGTGTTTTCTCTTTTGTGCCAAACAATTTAAATTAATGATGAAAAAAAATAATAGGACTGATTTGGGCCTAATTTAATCACCAAAATCAGCACTTAAACAATTATAAAAAGCCTTGAATTCTTCTTCATCTTTTGCAAATGGGTTTGACTTGGATTTCCGCAATCTTTGAATATCACCAATGAAGAGTTGTCTTAATCGTTTGGACTTGGGCCTTGTGATTGGCCCAATTGGTACTCTTGATGGATCTTCATTATGTTGGGCCGCATCATCCTCCCCTTCTTGAAAATGATTCGACCTCGAATCTTGTAAGCATTGTCTTTGATCCATGATATCACTTGAAATGGGCCACTTATAATACTTTCCTCTATCGAATGGAATTTTTATTGGACTTTCTTGTTTCTTCCACCATTGATGCTTTAAGGATGTAGTTATGGGCCTTGTGATGAGCCCGCTATTTACCCTTACTGAATTCCATATGTACTGGTTCCTATTATTCTCCCATTCTTGAAAAGGATTCGTCCTCGAATCCAAATCTTCAATGAAAGACAAAGTAGCAAGCTCACTTTCAGTTTTATCACGCTCATGGAACTTTTTCTTGGGATGCTTGACACGAGTCGCTCCAATCATCATCCTACAATCAACAAGTAAGGCAATTAAGTCTAATGACACATCATGGAATTTAAACATTCTGGATGGTAATAATTCAACAAAATGAGACATATTAAATTTAGGCATCTTCTTTGAATTGTCAACAAGTACAAAATCTTTCCTCCTAGAGCTTAAGGTAAAATCAAACAGAAAATTCATGGAAATATCAAGTAATGATTTAGATGTATTATGGTGGTAAGTAGCACAATTCTGAACATAAGATTCTAGTCCAAGGTTCACATAAAGATGGAGTATTGTCCCAAGATTACTCTCAATACAAGGATAGAGATGGATCAAAATACCTTAAACCTCACGAGAAACCCTTTGTCTCGAATCCTCAAAGACTTGGAAGATTCCCATTGTAGCTTCAAGTACCTCGATGATGCAATCTTCAATCAACTAGAGTCGGATCTAGTTTCCTTCGATTCAAGAACGAGTCCACGGACCTAAATCTAAGGTGGAAGAAAGGAAGATTGATTCGAGTCCACGAATCAATTTGCTAGTCGAGTCCACGACTAGCCACTAATTGAGTCCACAATTAGCCATAAGGTTTCTTACACGAGTGTAAAGAAAAACTTAAGAATTTTATTGAATTAAAGCCTCCCTTAAAACTGATATGGATGTGCCCTATTTATAGGTATAGGGGCTGCATTATAATTCTAAATACAATTGGAAAAAGAGTCCTAAACCTAATCTAGAAAACAAGTAAATAGAGTTTTATTTAGAAAAGGATTTAAGGAATCCTTTCTAAATACAACTAGTGTTTTCTCTTTTATGCCAAACAATTTAAATTAATGATGACCAAAAATAATAGTGCTGATTTGGGCCTAATTTAATCACCAAAATCAGCACTTAAACAATTATAAAAAGCCTTGAATTCTTCTTCATCTTTTGCAAATGGGCTTGACTTTGATTTCCGCCATCTTTGAATATCACCAATGAAGAGTTGTCTTAATCGTTTGGACTTGGGCCTTGTGATTGGCCCAATTGGTACTCTTGATAGATCTTCATTGGCAATTTATACCATAAACCCCGGCGTATAGCGCTGTGTGCGCCCAGCATCAAAATGACGCCGTATGGAATTGTTACGTAACGGACTTTTTTTATTAGTCTGTTAACACCGTCAAATGGTAAGAAGAGGGAAGTGAGAGAGCGGCTCTAAAGAGATGGTGTCGTCGCGCCGATCATGCATATTGGATTAGAGAACACGAGAGCGATCTGATTGTTCGATTTGCGTCGTATTCTGCAATTGTTGGATGTAAGCCATGTATGATTCGATTGCGCAGCAAGATGTGGCAGAGACAGAGCATACAACTGATCCTGTTGGAGTGGTAGATACAGAGGATGCTAATCCAGGTATTTGATTTTTAAGATTTTATTTTGTATTTTTGTTTTATGTATGATGTATATATTGAACTCGCCGTTGAATTATATAAGAATTGATATAGAATTGATGTTTGATTGTGGTTATTTTGGATGTTAGTATGGTTTGATTTGAAGTTGTTGTTTCAGGGAGGTTGTATGTGTATTATATGGTTTGATTTGTTCGTTTTATGATTATGTGTATTGTGCCATATGTGTATGTGTATTGTATTTATGGATTATGTACATTAACAGTATGAGATATAGGTTTTATGTATTTTTATGATTATGTGTATTGTGCCATATGTTTATGTGTATTGTAGTTATGGATTATGTACATTAACAGTATGGGTAGTTAAATTGTATGTGATTTGCAGCTGATCAGGATTTGGTAGGGATGTCAGTGTGTTCGGTTGATGAAGCATATGACATGTATAATGATTATGCTTTTAGAGTAGGTTTTTGTGTGAGGAGGGGTAAGCAAAGATATAATTCTGCTACAAAAACAATGGAGACGAAGATGTTCCATTGTTCGAAGGATGGATTTAAAAGGAGTACAAGAAAAGGGTGTTATTCTAAAATTGATGGTCGTACAGGTTGTGGTGCATTTGTCCAATTCGATTGATGCGGCCCAACATAATGAAGATCTATCGAGAGTAACAATTGGGCTAATCACAAGGCCCAAGTCCAAATGATGCGGCCCAACATAATGAAGATCCATTAAGAGTACAAATTGGGCCAATCACAAGATCCAAGGCACAAATCAGCTTTATTATTTGTGGTCATCATTATTTTAAATTGTTTGGAATTAAAGAGAAAACACTAGTTAGTATTTAGAAAGGATTCCTTAAACCCCTTTCTAAATAGGACTCTATTTACTTGTTTTCTAGATTAGGTTTAGGACTCTTTTTCCTATTGTATTTAGGATGCTGCCCCTATACCTATAAATAGGGCACAGCAATATCAGTTTCGGAGAGGCTTTAATTCAATAAAATTCTTAAGTTTTTCTTTACACTTGTGTAAGAAACCTTATGGCTAATTGTGGACTCAATTAGTGGCTAGTCGTGGACTCGACTAGCAAATTGATTCGTGGACTCGAATCAATCTTCCTTTCTTCAACCTTAGATTTAGGTTCGTGGACTCGTTCTTGAATCGAAGGAAACTAGATCCGACTCTAGTTGATTGAAGATTGCATCATCGAGGTACTTGAAGCTACAATGGGATTCTTCCAAGTATTTGAGGATTCGAGACAAAGGATTTCTCGTGAGGTTTAAGGTATTTTGATCCATCTCTATCTTTACTTTGAGAGCATTCTTGGGACAATATTCCATATTTATTTGAACCTTGGACTAGGTTCATATCAATTTGGTATTCAGAGCCTAGGTTTATCTCATTCATATCTTACATACTACTTTTTATTTCATGTCTTTTTCCCGTCGAATATTAACAAGACCTCACACCTCCTAAGCACCATATTACCACACATTCTATCAAGAAAACAACCTGATCTCACCCTTACCTATATCCATAGCGCATTTACTCGCAATCACACCCTGTCCAGATTTCCATGTTCTATGACCAGTTTCAAAGAATTACCTATATCTCGAGATCTACTGGTTAGATATATCTGATATTTTGATATATTGTAGATATCTTCTGGGGCGTTCTATTGATATATTATACACTTGCTACTTCCTTACGGTCATTGAGATATTGATCTTCGAAGTATGGGTAGCGTTTCTGTTTTTCTGGGTGATTCTTGAAATTCTTGATTCTGTTTTGAAGGGGTTGTGTGGATCCTCTTGGTCCGAATTTTTTGTTGATATTTACAGTAGTTATTTGGATGTTACTTATCAAAAAAAAAATCAAAAAAATCAAGAAAGGTGAAAAAAAAAAAAAACAAAAAGAGAAAGCAATAAAGAAGAAGAATAAGTTTGGGGAAAGAATCTGTTTGGTAGGAGAAATTTGGAGGGATAAGGAAGGGGAAAAGTATAAGGTTGGAAGGAGTTCTTGATATATTCTTATTTGGTTGTGGTACACTTGCACCCCTATTACATTCTATTTGTGTCTATCTTCTGATATTGGTCTTGCATATCTTTCTGCCATACTTCTTTCTTTGCTTCCCTTTTTTTTTTTCTTTCAAATCTTGCTTAGTTTCTTTGCTTGTATTGTCCCTTTTCTTTGCTTCTTGCTCTCAATTTTATTACCTACCTCACGATACACCTTACTCTCATCAAAGGCTTGTGAAGTTTTCCAAGGTACGTTTTCTTGATCTTTGAGGTTGAATCCATACCAACTTGAGTTCCGGACTAGAATTTTCCTTTTTGGAAAAAGGCTTGTGAGAGTATCTGCCACCTTGAGCGATACACGAGTGGAGTGTGTATTTGTAAGAGTGTGTAGTGCACCCCCAGAGCCATATAATCCACATCTTACCTGCGAGCTGAGAATAGTGAGGGAGCGAGCCAACTTTTTGGTTTCACTAACATCACCACTCACACATCTTCTTGTTTTTTTTTTTTTAGATATTTTTTCCTATACAGATGGCTGATCAAGTTCCAAACTTTCCCCAGACATTAGAACAAAAGATAGACAGGTTACTCAAACGAATGAATAATTTGGAGCAACGCTCACAGCAAGTGCAACCACCACACAATGATGAGCGACACCTGCCACCAGTAGGAAGAGTGGATCCTATATGTCAAAGGATCCAGCAGCGTAATGCGGAGTTAGGAAACATTAAACATGAAATTCCTAACTTCACCGGTGAGAAAGGACCTACCGAATACATAGAATGGGAGAATGCTGTTGAAACTCTTTTTTATTTAAAGCAATATTCTGATCTTACAAAAATTAGGATAGTTGCTACATCTTTTAAGGGGTATGCATTATCTTGGTGGCGAAAAAGAAATATAGAAAGAGTTGCTAATTTTATTCCCTATGAATCTTGGGTTCAAGTGAGGGAAGATATGCGCCTAACCTTTCGTCCTAAATCTTTTTTCAATGATCTTGAAAGAAAATTGCAGGGAACGGTGCAAGGAAAAAAGTCATTTGATGTGTACTACCAAACTATAAGTATTTTGCTTAAACAGTGAGACATACATGAAGAAGAGACAAAAACTGTTGCTCGTTTCGTACATGGATTGAACTTAGAAATTCGATGTGGAATGAGTATTCAGAGATATGACACCCTTTATGATGCCCTATATGTTGCACGTGAATCTGAGGCAAAAACCAAAGAGATAAAAATGTACAAGTCCAACAATGGTGCATCAAGATGGAACAACACTTGTTCCACCCCTCAAAGGCGTGATGAACATCCTCCTCCAAGAGATGATTCACGAGACAAAGGTAAGGAAAAGGTAAGTGAGGCAGTGAGGCCTCAACATGATAGAGAATTGATTTGTTATAGATGTAATGGGAGAGGCCGCATAGCTCGTGATTACCCTATCAAGAGGGTAGTTAAGATAACAACAGAATCTGAAAAATTTACTTCTTGTCTTGAATATAAATCTGAGGAAGAGGTTTGTAACCATTTTGAAACCCCCAATGAACATGTTGAGGGGGAACCGTTTATACCTTTAAAATCTGATTCTAAATATGCTGATAGTGAGTCTAGTCATACTGTTGTTGTTAAGGAGGTTTTAAATGTCAATCCTTTAAAAGAAGATGAGTTTCAAAGAGAAAATATATTTTTTGCTAAAGGTTCAGTTAAAGGGAATGATTGTACTGTGGTAATAGATTCTGGAAGTTGCGCAAATGTGGTTAGTACAGCTATGGTTAAATTTGTTCAGCTACCTTTGTTTGATTACCCAACTCCTTATCGTTTTCAATGGTTAACTCATGCAGGAGAAGCTAGAATAACTCATGTTTGATTGGAACGACTTGTGTCAAGCATCCCAAGAAAAAGTTCCATGAGCGTAATAAAACAGAAAGTGAGCTCGCTAATTTGTCTTTCATTGAAGATTTGGATTCGAGGACGAATCCTTTTCAAGAAGGGGAGAATAATAAGAACCAGTTCACATGGAATCCAATAAACGTATATATTGGGCTCATCACAAGGCCCATAACTACATCCTTAAAGAATCATTGGTGGAAGAAACAAGAAGGCCCAATAATAATTCCATTCGATAGAGGAAAGTATTATAGTGGTCCATTTCAAGTGATATCATGGATCGAAGACAATGCTTACAAGATTCGAGGTCGAATCATTTTCAAGAAGGGGAGGATGATGCGGCCCAACATAATGAAGATCCATCAAGAGTAACAATTGGGCTAATCACAAGGCCCCAAGTCCAAATGATGCGGCCCAACATAATGAAGATCCATTAAGAGTACAAATTGGGCCAATCACAAGATCCAAGGCCCAAATCAGCTTTATTATTTGTTGTCATCATTATTTTAAATTGTTTGGAATTAGAGAGAAAACACTAGTTAGTATTTAGAAAGGATTCCTTAAACCCCTTTCTAAATAGGACTCTATTTACTTATTTTCTAGATTAGGTTTAGGACTCTTTTTCCTATTGTATTTAGGATGCTGCCCCTATACCTATAAATAGGGCACAGCAATATCAGTTTCGGAGAGGCTTTAATTCAATAAAATTCTTAAGTTTTTCTTTACACTTGTGTAAGAAACCTTATGGCTAATTGTAGACTCAATTAGTGGGTAGTCGTGGACTCGACTAGCAAATTGATTCGTGGACTCGAATCAATCTTCCTTTCTTCAACCTTAGATTTAGGTTCGTGGACTCATTCTTGAATCGAAGGAAACTAGATCCGACTCTAGTTGATTGAAGATTGCATCATCGAGGTACTTGAAGCTACAATGGGATTCTTCCAAGTCTTTGAGGATTCGAGACAAAGGGTTTCTCGTGAGGTTTAAGGTATTTTGATCCATCTCTATCTTTGCATTGAGAGCATCTTGGGACAATATTCCATCTTTATTTGAACCTTGGACTAGGTTCATATCATCGATTTACATGAGAATGGGATGTGGATTGTTTCGAAGCATGAGAAGTTGCATAATCATGAATTGGTTCCACCAAGCAAGAGTTACCTTCTAAGGTCACATAGGATGGTGTCTAGTAATCATATATCATATCTTACTGATTTGAAGAGCAGTGGTGTGTCTGTTGCAGATGGTGTAAGATTCCTTAAAACACAATCAAGGGGATCACCACTTGTTGGGTTTACATGTAGGGATGCATATAACTCTCTATGTACCGATGCATTGAACAGATTGGATGGTACCGATTCAAACACATTGATTGAAATATTCAAACGGAGGCAGTCAAGTGAAAGGGATTTTTACTTTGATTTTGAGGTGGATTTGGAGTCAAGGTTGTGTTGTTTTTTTTGGAGGGATGGACGGATGAGGAGAGACAATGATTTGTTCGGGGACTTGTTAGTTCACGATACAACATATCGTACTAACAAATATGACATGATTTGTGGACCTTTTGTTGGCATGAATAACCATTGCATGAATGTTATGTTTGGATGCGGTTTTTTGATGAATGAGAAGATTGAGTCATTTGTATGGTTGTTTAAGACATTTTTGAGATCTATGGATTACAAAAGTCCACAAAGCATAATGACTGATCAATGTGCTGCTATGGCTGCTGCAATTGTTCAAGTTTTTCCAAGTTCACGACATCGGCTATGTATATGGCATATTGGCGAGAACTCAAAGAAGCACATTAAAGGGTTAAGAAATCAAAAAGATTTCCTAGATATATTCAATTGCTTGTTGAAGCATACGGATACAGAGGCAGAGTTTGAATTTTACTGGACAAGGTACGTGTCTGATGTATGCTTCGTTATTATTTTTTTTATTATTATTAGTTTATATATGGATTATCATTGAATGAATATTTGTAGATTATATTATACAGAATACAGAATTAATTTTTTGGATCAAGTTTATGTGTATCTGTTTGATAGTTTATGTGTATTCATGTATAAGATTATGTACATTAGTCTGTTCTGTATGTTATATCCTGACATGCTTGTAGGTTTACTTTAATATATCTATGGCATGTTATTTCAGGATGGTTACAACATATAAATGTCACAATAATCATTGGATTGAAAAGTTGTATGGGTGTAGAGAAAAATGGTGTCCTGCTTTTAATAAAGATTATTTTTCGGGTGTGATTTTATCTTCTCAAAGGAGTGAGACCACCAATCACTCTATTTCTAGAAGGTTGTCCAAGACATCTGGTTTGTGTGATTTTTATAACTCATTTGTTGGGGTCGTATCAGAGTGGAGAAGTAGAGAGAATGGGGAAGATGTTCGGTGTTCACAAGGTGTACCCACAATGGTGATGGATAATGTTAAGATTCTGTTGCATGCTAGGGAAATTTATACAATTGAGATATACTATTTGTTTGAAGAACAATTTTTGAAAGGTGGATCATGCTATCAAGAGTGTGTGGTGTTGGAAGATGGTGTGTATAAGTATCATGTCTGGAGGCCGGATGTTGATATTATTAGGCATGAAGTGATCTTTAACAGTAGACAAATGGACATTGTATGTAGTTGCAAGTTGTTTACTGAATTGGGGATTTTGTGTTGTCATTGTTTACGCATTCTAAATGTGCATTGTGTTTCTGAAGTCCCCGAGAAGTATATTTTGAAGAGGTGGACTAAAAAAGTTGTTGAAGTTGATAATGTTGATATAATGTCTAGAGTTGATAGTGGTAATGGTGCATCTTCTGTTTGGTTATTAGAAATCATTAGGAAATTTCAGAGGCTTGCTGTTTATAGTCAGGAAAATATCGAAGGACGAAAGATTTGTGAAGAAGCAATTGCAGATGCAAAGAGAAGACTTGAAGCTGAATGTGGTGGCAGTTTATTTGAAGATTGTGACATAGGATCGACAAGTGGTGTTATAAAGGATCCATCTACTAGGCGGATGAAAGGGTTGCGGAATAGGAGGGTGAGCAGCGTTATTTCAAAGAAATATAACAAAGCAAGGGGACGGAAGCATCTTGCAAATATGGTTGCTTCCAAAATAAAATCTGCTGTTCAATCTCAAGTTGAGGGTGATATTTTAAATATTGCAGGCGATGGATATCTTGTGCACCCAAGTTCCGGAGGTTCTAGTTTTTGTCACGTTAGCACAATGTCAAGCATGGAGGATAATTAAAGCACATGTTAGTGTTAATCATCGTAGTTATATGTATCACGTATAGAATGATGTTAAATCACATAACTCAGCAGTAATAAAATAGACTTTTATTATGATATGTGCTATTTTAAAAGTTTATGTGTATTCATTATATACTTTATGTGTATTCATTATATACTTTATGTGTATTACTTTATATGATTATGTACATTTTTATTTGTGTTAATTACTTTTATATATTTATGTACATTTCTTTTTTAGATTTGCAGTTATCAGTATAGGGAAATGAAATGCTTGGTCATATGTGTATTATGTACATGTTTACATTCAGTAGGATGTTTGATTGTATATATTAGCAGAAACAAAATATTTGTTAGACTTTTTTTAGTAGTATGTGCACTATTTGAAAGTTTATGTGTATTCATTATATGGGTTATGTGTATTACTTCATATGATTATGTACATTTTTTGATAGTTCATAGTTTGTGTAGTATATGCATTGATTATGCAAAAAACCATATTGGGGAATATGAAGAATATAGAATACAAGTAAACATTAGATTGGATTACCAAAAGGAGCATATACAAATTTCTGATAATTGTTTATCAACTGAAACTTCCAGAAATTGAACCAAAAATACAAGTAACCCTGAGTTTGGATTAGCAGAACTGATTTTTACAGATTGTGGTTAGTAGTTTCACTTCTATTTCTTGTAGTTGTCCCTTGCTGATTGCATGACTGTTTCCATGTATTCGTTTTTCTTCCACATGATGATGTTTACTGCATATTTTGCTCTAAGCGATGTAATGAAAGCAGCCTATAGTAAACAAAAAATACATGTTAAAATTAGAAGAAACAAGAGATAACATGTGTAATGTAAAACAAAGTTGATTATTACTTATATCACTATCACCCCCTATGAAACCAGTTTCCCACTTGTCTACCGCAGTCCCTTTGTAAGTTTCCATGTGGCGCATGCAATACACACCACAATCTGTTGTGTTCTCTTCATCTTGCCATGGCATGTGAATGCACTCAGCTTCGATATTCTTCACTTTCCTTGCAAGGGAGTTTTTCTTCATTTGGAGGTATTTGTAGAAAGCTGTTTTCTGCACATTATAGTAATTGCAGTGTTTAATTAATTTAAGTAATGTAAATATTAAAGTATAGGGTATAGATATTAAATAGGAGTATTAGTTTATCCTACCAACTTAGCCGGGCAGTTCTCATATCTGTTCGTATTTGGTATTCTCTTGGGCATTAGCTTGTTATCAATGATCTGAAGTTTTGACTTGGGGATGTTAAAGCACATTAAGTAGTAGTGATTGTGCCTCAAGATTGTAAAGAAAACCTGAAATGAATAATTAAAAGGTATTTAACAAACTGTGTCAAATACAGACATAAATTCAATAATCTTAGAATTCATATATATATATATATATATATATATATATATATATATATATATATATATATATATTTTACTTACAAGACTTGCATCTGTTATATCAATTGCAGTCCCCCTCAACTGGTAGTCAATATTTACACAGAAGTCACCAATATCCATATTCCTTGCTTTTATTTCAACATTTTCAAGCGTCGTCTGTAAAGAAGAGGTTGTGTGTCATATAGTACATTGTTTTAAAAAATGCTTTAGTTCTAGATGTGTACTTACGTAAGCAGCATCCGAGAAGAAGATCCTTTTCGGTTGATCAATTGATCTTTCCATATCAAGCACCGTCAATCTGTGTGCCCAGATTTGCAGGATATTTGTAGCTAGTTGTCCACTTGCCAATGTTGCAATGTCCTCCCTCGTTGCAAACAGATCATGGGCAGAAAACAACATTTCACTGGAAACAAACAAAACAAGTTCAAATTACAAAATAAACATTTCACAATTTAAAGTAATATACTGTTTCCCACATTCTAAATGTATAATGTACATAATGTCATGAAGTAATACACATAACATATAACCAGGATACACCAATGTACATAATATCATGAATGAATACACATAACATATAACATGAATACACATAACATATATCAGGAATACACATAATGTGGTATATCAACTGAGAACACCAATGTACATAATATTATGAATGAATACACATAACAAATATCATGAATACACATAATGTGGTATATCAACTGAAAGCATCGGTTATAACAAGTTATAAATGAAATACATACTAAGAAGGGTACTCAGTTTCATCTGATGGCAGGAACGCATAGTCCGAAATCAGTTTTTCCCTGGCGGAAAAATTCTTGATCTTTGAAATGTTGCTTGTCCAGTATGGGGATCGACAAGCCAGAGGGAGGTTCTTGAACTTTCGCTGTGGCCTTTTCCGGACATTGACATCTTCAACATCATCTTCAGATTCAGCAATGATGCTTTGTAGAGACAGAAAAGTAATTAAAAACATGTTTTAACATGTTAAGCAGTAGGCATAACAACATGATTAAATAATTAATAAGGATAAACGCACATAAGGATACTGTTAAGTGATAAGTGAGTTTTACCTATCAAATTCAATTTGTTCTGGAGTTTTCTGGGGTGAACCATCAGCTATGTCATCAACGAGCTTCTCCAAGAGTGTTGCAATTGGGGTAACTGCTGCTGCTGCTGTATTTCCTTCGATTGTTTGTGGTGGTGGTGTGGTGGGTGATGCTGATAGAGTTGCTGCTCGGGGTTCAGATGTGGGTTCGGGTGGAGGTGGTGTTGTTTCAGGTGGAGTTGCATTTCTTGGGGCCTCTTCGGGAGTAGCATCACGGGCAGTTGGCGTCAGGAGATTAAAAGTTGGTGCAGGTATGTCAGCAGTTGTCATGGTCTTCAATGTTGCCAGGAATGCCGCTTCAAGTTCAGCAACCGCATCCAAGAAACTGGGTTGGTTGTAGATATCATCATCTCACAGTAAGTTTTCCGGTGGGGTTGGATTCGGGCTTGGGGTGAGGTTGGCAGTGGCGGATAAGTTGCTGAACACATTTTTTATAATCTCAACAACAGAGGTGTTCGCCCCAACACCTGCCATGACCTCACCGAACTCCATAATGCTCGTGGTCATCTTTTTCAATGCGGTGGTAACCTTTTCAACTTCTTGACCTTGTGGCAGTTCACGGGGCGGTGGCAGTTGAGGAGGTGGTGGCTGATGTGCATCTGGGATATATTCAACAACTTTGCCCTTTCCAAAGCCGCCTATGTCTCTTTCAACCTTGGCCCTTGCTCTCAAATCACTTGAAGTCCATGAAGTGATGGTGGGAATTCTCTTTCAGACTATTTCTCCTCTAACCTGCACTTTGTCTAGGTATGCCAGCTTCAAATAGAGAAACAAAACAAAAAGAAAAAAAAAGAAGAAGATAAACCATTCAAAATCAGTATCAGTTAATGTTTAGGTTGGCAGAGTAGGATACACATAAAGTTATTAAAAGATGTACATAATTATAGTCTACAATGTACATAATGTATATCATGAATACACATAAGGTTATAGGTGAATATACAGAGTGCATACCATCAGGAAAGTTGCAGGACCAGTGAAGGCTGCATCACGTTTGCCTCTCCATGTTGTGGTGGTGTCAACAAGAGATCGTATCGTGTAAGCACACCAGTTGAAGTCTTGGATCTTGCTGACATCTTGCAGTGAATACAGGAGCCTGTAGTTGCAGAACATGTTCTTGAAGCCTCTTATCAATGTGGAAACAACATAGATTATGAAGTCACGTTTGAACATGTCGCCATGATCACGCCTCTCAATAATGCCATTCAG